TTTTTGTCAGTTATCAGATAGAGCAAAGTTCCACAGTTGGGTTTAATACTGCTTTAACTTTAGCATTTTCCTCAATGTGTATGTAGGCTTACATTTGAACAATGTATGATCTCCCTTACACTAAGCTTAACCCCTTGACGCCGATCACACGCAAATATGCGGTCTCTTGTCGTCTGGGCCTTGGCGCCAAGTGCCCGCATATTTGCGTGCAATTAGAAAATACATATGTAATGAGAGCGTGCATCCTGCTCGCTCCCAGCTCATATGTCCATGACTCCCGGAAAGGTCCCGATCTCCCCTTTCGATCGGGACCTTTTCCGATCATGTGACTGCCATAACGGCGAATCACGGCGGTCACATGACCCTAAAAGCCTGCCCCCGCATCCCAGCTTCTGAAATTCTTAAAGGGTCGGGAGGCACTGGAGCAAAGAGGTTAATGTACTTTATCTGACAATGACTCTAGGCCGCATTAAAGTGGAATTAACCGGTTCCCCGCAGCCCTATAGCAGAACTACTGCTACAGGGCGGCAGGGCTACGCAAAATCACATATATATATATATATATATATATATATATATATATATATACGTGACTTTGCATTTCCGGGTACCTACCTGCATCGCCCTACCCACACTGCCATTGGCAACTACAGCTGTCGATCACTGGGTCCCGGCCGGAGATTCCCCGCCAGCACACAGCGATTGCCAAGGAACACTGACAAGGGAGAGGTCTGTATGTAAACAACACAGACCTCTCCCCTGTCAGCACCAGCATGCTGCTTTGTATTGCTCTGCATAGCAGAAGCAATACAAAGCAACATGCTTACATAGTAAAACACACGCAACACACATAGTAAAACAGCACACAGTTAACCCTTTGATTGCCCCCAATGTTAACCCCTAAGTCGCTGATCACCGCTATTACTAGTATAAAAAAAAAATTCCAGTATATATTCCACCATTTGTAGACACTATAACTTTCACATAAAACTTGCACTGCACGGCAGGAGAGCTTGTTCTGTTGAAAAAGGACAAATATACTGGACAGACCACTAAATGAAAATAAAAGAAAAAATGCCTGAAAAAGAAAACTACTGCAGGCATCACATCTACGTATTTGTAAGCTGAAGTATAATAAATGCTTGCTTTTGGGTTTAATCCTCTCACTGAAGCTAACAATGGGATACTATTCCTCCCATTGATAGCAATTATGGAACACTATTCCTCCCACTGACAACAGTGATGGGGCACTATTCCTCTCACTGACATCAACGATGGAGCACCATTCCTTCCACTGATACCAATGATGGGGCACTATTACTCCCACTGAAATCAATGAAGGGGCACTATTCATCCCACTGACACCAATGATGGAGCACTATTCCTCTCACTGACACCAATGATGGAGCACTATTCCTCCCACTGACACCAATGATGGGGCACTATTCCTCTCACTGACACCAATGATGGGACAATATTCCTCTCAGTGACACTAATGATAGAGCACTATTCCTCCCACTGACACCAATGACGGGACACTATTTCTCCCGCTGACACTGATGATGGGACACTATTCCTCCCACTGACACCAAGGATGGGGCACTATTCCACCTATTAATACCAATGATAGGGGAACTATTACTTCCCTTAATACAAATGATGGGGCACTATTCCTCCCATTGATACCAACAATAGGGCACTATTACTCCCTTTAATACCAATAATGGGGCACTATTACTACCAATGATACCAACAATGGGGGACTATTACTTTCCTTAATACCAATGATGCTGCACCATTCCTCCCATTGATACTAACGATGGGACACTATTCCTTCCAATGAACCAAATGATAGGGCACTATTACTCCCCTTAATTCTGTATAGCAGTTCACCATTTGCAGTAACTGAATCATTACACTGTCATTGGCGAGTGCTGATATCTCCATACACAGTGTACACAGTGCACAGGTCTGCCTCATATTATTTCCTTTTCTGGTCAAATTTTTTTAGCCTATAGCTTTAGGCGGGGGCTGCGGTTAAAATCACAGCCCCCCCAGTTATCAAAACAATATTTTGACTAAAAATACGCTAAGATCATTATTAGCAGACACAAACACGACATAACTTACAAAAGTCCTGCTAAATCAAAAAGATAAAACTGTATTGAATTAATAAAGTTGTATGTGTTAATGAGGTCTTGGAGCTCATCAAATGGGTGCTGTGGCCTGTACAGTGTGAATTAGTGTTTTTTGTGGATGGAGCTGTTTGTAGGCAGCCTATGTTATTCTATGAGGGCACAGAAACTGTATGAACACAGCCGCAGGTCCTAATTTGACAGCCGTATGGATGGAGATGTACGGCCCCAAACACAGACAGTGTATATATAAATTTCTCTCCCTGCAGCTGCTCTGGACAATGAATGAATGGAAACCTTTGTGTATAGAGGCTCCTGTTCATTCTTAAACTGAAGCATACTAAACACAGTTTATCGGTACCAATCACTCATTCTGTTCATTCAGGAAAGGAATGGGGTGATAAATTACATATTTACCGGCACTTTCCCTGTTCTCCATCCTAAAACATCCCTATGTGCTGGTGGGAGGGATAGGAGGGAGCCGGTAACGCTTCATAGGGAAGGGGGCACAACAGGGGGGTCCAGGCAGCAGGGTGAAGAGGATGGTAGATAGGGAGGGTGATCAGCATGACAGTGGTGGGGCAGTTACTGGAACTGATCCCCTGGATAGCTCTCTCTGCAGCAGCTGAAAGCCAGCTGGAGGGAGAGAAGATGCTGAATTGTAGCTGTTGCAGAGGGAGCTATACAAGGGATTAGTTCCAGTATTTATCACAACCTCCACCCATTACCCCCCCCCCCCCCCCCCACACACACACACTGATCCCCCTCCCTGCCCACATACGATTCCCCCTGCTACCTGGGTCCCCCTACTGACCTGGGCCCCGTACATAAGAACTGGTGGTACCACCTTATCAGCAGTCCTGGTTTTAAGCTATTTTCTCTTTTAGTCCAGTGTTCTTTAAATCTTCTGAATGAATGTTAAGACTTTTTCTCTTGAGCCTCATGCACTCTGGGTGTCTTCCTAGCTCTCCTGTATGCCTTTCTCACGGCAGGAGAAAAGCAGCACTAAAAACATGCCTAAAGGCCTATTCTTGTAAACACATTTAAGTGTGTTTAGATCAGTTTAGGCCAGTCCAGCATTTGGGCGTTAGTTCACTTCACTGATCAGAATAATAGTTTATAGTGTATACTAAACGTGCTTAGCATTTACACATGTTTAGGTGCGTCAAGTGTTTTTCTGCTGCTCCTGAATGTGCTGGCAGTGGCCTCTAAACGCCTATGGGTGCATGGACATTGAGTGGCGTTTACAGGCAGAAATAAAGGCAATTGCCGCCGACGTAACACAAATATGCAACCTCACAGAACTGGGCTTTTTTCTGTGGTGCCGCATAACTGCGTACCTGTCTTTGTGCTGGGAGCGTGCCGCACGGAGCACTGAGAGCACCGGGTCCCGTTCTAACGATTGGAACTCGGGACTCTCAATTCCGGGTCACATGATCGCTGTGATAGCCTGTCAGTGGTCAGTGTGTGAAATGTTTTAGGTAAAAAAAAAAAAAAAGACAAAAACAAAATATGCACTATTGTTTCTGGGCTGTACTATGGGTAAAAACAACAAATAACATACACATATATGGTATCGCTGCGATCGTCAAGAGCTGGAGAATTTATTTTGGGTTGTTCTTTGGTGGTAGGTTATCTTTGGTGGGTAGTAACAAGAAAGACAGCTAAATAAAAAAAAAAATTTTTTTTTATTATTTTGGGCCTGTTTTCCTTTGATAATGAAAAAAAAATCAAGAGATATCCTTTACAATTTACCACCAAATGAAAGCCCAATTTGTCCTGAAAAAAACAAGGTATAATTCACCTGGATGTACAAAGTAGTTGTGATGATATGTACGGTTTTACTAACACATGTCATCGTTGCAAAATTGTGCTTAGGCATTTAGATTTGTTTTACCCTTAGGCGTGAAGTGGTTAATGTACACTGTGCTTGAGGCCTAATGACCAAAGTTAGAAAATGTTACATTCACCCTGTGAAAGGCAACAATAGAAATTCACAAACCTTGTTGTGTGGGGTTGAACTTGAACCTGACTCCGGCAGCCTTTTTTTATAGGCTGATCTGTTGGTTGCCTGTCCACCAATCCAAGCATTAAAAACGGCTTTACTGATTTGACCTTGAAATCAGTGATGCCAGGAATCCATATGTACCACTTTCTGAGTACCATGAAACATGATTATTCATAAAAGTAAGGTACAGGGCTAGAAATGTGTGATATGATTAAAAAAACTGTATCAAAATGTAGGTGTCAATGAAATTATTAAAGTGTTACTAAACCCACAACAGTAAAATCAGTCTGTATATACAGTAAAGCATGTTTGTTATACTCACTGTGGAACCTAAGGGGTTAATCCTCTGCATTGTGTAAAAAAGGTCTTGATCCTGTTTTCTCTCCCCCTCCTCTTGGTTAGATGTCCACCTGATAAGACAGACTGAACCCGTAGCCACATGGAAGTGCTCAGTTTAGTGTGTATTGCCAGAGAGGTTTTTTTTTTCTTGGGAGACTGCATGTGATCAGCACAGGGCCAATCAGCACTGTCCAGACAGAGGATCAGAGGTTTTGCATCCTCCTAGAGCAGAAAGAAAACTCCTCCTACAATCTTTAACCTGTGCTCTGCTGAAATCACAAGACTGCTGTAACTGCTGATGAGAAAAGGTATTTAGCAGTTTATTTTTTTACTAAAGTAATTGCATTTCCATGTTTTATGTACTGTGGGAGACCAGATATAGTGAATGCAGGGTCCTGGGTTTAGTAACACTTTAAATACAGCATATGTAAGACATAAAAAGCAATGATATGTGGTTTTGTAGTGCTATATTTATTTTCCCCTTTTCCCTTCTATTTTGTCATTTATGTTGTTCTTACCTGTATGGGTACGGACATGTCTTTTGAGGTCAAATGTGTCATTGAAACCTTTTCCACAATGTTCACATCGATGCCTCTTCACTTCACTATGACATTTCATATGACGATTCAACATCCGCTGGTATGAAAAGCTTTTGTCACAGAGAGTACAGCGGAACAGCATCCTCTGCTCCTCCTAATGTGAGATACAGGAAATATCCATTACAAAACAACATTCTCTGTATGCGTTTGTCTACATCAGTACCAAAGCAACAAGGCACTCACAACATTCTTACAAAAGTTTCATGTTAATGTTTAATATTTTTAAGAATTGCTGTTAAGTAGATTTTGATCAAATCAAAGTGATCCTGAACTCAAAAAGTAAAGCCTACTATGTTATAGGGAGCATCAAGAAATGCTAATTGTATTCTGAGGTCATCTGCCTCTAGTCTCATGAGATATGGAGTGAGGTTTGATGATGTCACTATGGTGCTGATCACATTTCGCCATGCTGGAGATGAAGATATGCCTGAAGACTGGCAGTGTAAGGATCTGCTTACTTCAGCTTCATTCATTTTATAGATCTGTGCTTTATTTGTCCACATCTGTCATTAGGGGGAAGCAGGCTCTGACATGAAGAAATAAAGCTCTTCTACCAAGGCCACATCAACACAAAGGACACAATGCAAAACACAGCATTGTAGGGCAGTAATGGGGAAAGAATCAGCTGCAGGGAACCTATAGGCCATACTGGTGACTAGCCTTTTTCTCTCTGCTTACCTTTTTTGTCCAGAGCTTCCACGGTTTAGGTTCTTTTTAAAGAGTTGGTTTTTATCATCACTGGCTTCCCTGATGCCAGACAAGATGAAGTGGTAGAGAAGATGGCAGCAGCAGTGGATTGCAGAGCTATCAGTGCTGGAGAAGGGCAAACGCAGAGTCTGACCCTCTGCCATGCTACAGTTTTGATCTAAAGCATATTTCTTTGTTGTGAATCTAAAGAATATCTCTGAATTAGGCTACCCATAGTCTTGAGATGACAGTCATCTGATCTGTCTGTTTTCTGCCTAGATGAGGTGATGATCTCCAGTCTGCTGGTCCTGCCTACATACACTAGCAGGCATCATTGGGAGAGAAAACAATATATTGGCCATAACAGAAAACCACTATTGGTTTCCCCCAAGATAAGCAGAACCAACAGTTTCCGGCTTCATTACAAATCTCCTACCCTCTACATTAATTTCACATAAATTTGCTAGAGTAGCAGGGCTGACCTTGCTTGCTTGTATTGAGTGCCAGGGCTAGGAAAAGAGCTGGGCGGGAGGGGTTGCTGCCCTGGTCACAATGGCTTACTGTAGAGATGGGGGTGCCTTCCTCCTTTTACAAGGCTGACAGCAGTAGTAACAGCGACAGATATTTTGACAAGCGAGCGACCGCTGGGCATAGGATCCCCAAGCCAGGGAGGGAGGGCGCAGTTTGGCATCTTTGCCCTGGGCACTGGAAGACCTTGTCTCGGCACTGTTGAGTGCTCTGCAGCACTTAGCAGATCTGCTATCCTTGGTCACCCACAGACATAAGGTAATGATCTAAAGAAATGTGTGATGTCTTGTTCAAAGCTTGTGTATGACTTCAGGACCCATTCACACTTAAGTTTTCCAATGCAGTCTCTTAATGCACATGCCAATGCACCACAATACATGAAAAATTGTACATGATCCTTCTTTTTTGAAACACAGTGCACCTCAACACATGGTATGTGCATTGTGGTGCACTGCAGTCCATGTGCATTGTGTTCTATTTTGCAAGGCATTGGAGTGGCATTCACAATTAATGCCACCACAACGTATTTTGGTAGAATAATCTTTGGCACTGAATTTTTTTTTTTTTTTTTTTTCATTTACCATCTCATGACAACTAAGCAATCTCCCATGATGTACTTGAGCATTTCCTATTGCAGGAAGTATCTTTTCTAAAGTATCTGGCATCATTACGTATATTTTGTGACTTTACAATTTTTTCAGTAAGAAAAGTCTTTGCCATTTACGAAATATATAGTAATACAAATGAAAATCTTAGGAAAAGGATATAAAGCAATATGCAAATATCTGAATGTCCAGGACAGAGCTGTTGCTTCAGTAATGAGAATGTGGAAGCTACATCAAACTCCCCAGAAGCTACATGGAAAATTCATCTCAAGGAAGGAAAGAAGGAATCTTGGAAAGGTCACAGAAGGACAAACAATCGCACTGAAACTGCTAAACAAGTAGGTGACCAAGGCTAAATTAAACCAACCAGAGCTCTATATAATACATGCCTATATGAGAGTGTGGCCCATATTTTGTTGTCAAATAACATTGAGATAGATACAGTAGATTGCAGCCAAAATTCTAAGCAATACATGCAATGTAAATGTACCCGCACCAAAAACTTATGGTGGTGGTACCTTTCTGTGTACCTTTGTTAAGAAACAGAACGAATAGTTGGCACAAAACGCAAGAGTTGACAGGCATTCTTTGCATGATTGCATAACTGGATTTCTTTCCAAAAAGGAGTCTTTCCCAAGCAACAAATGTAAGTTGGAGGCTCATGAAGATAGGGCCTGTGGCCCAGGGGATGTTAAGGAGTGGAGCAATAAGAAAATACAAGATAACGTATGTAAACCCTGAAAGAGATGGTTGCCTACAGATCCTGCTGTATTCAGAAGAGTCCAGGCTTGTTCAAGGCAAGGTGAGTCCTGTCACCAGGTGCTTAGCTGTGGAAGAAAGACACTGCCACAACTTAACGTCCGCTGATTCTTTACAGTGTAAGCTAATAAACTCCATTCCCCTGGTGATCTAAGCCTGCAGTGACAAAGTGGCTGAGATAAGATGAACAGAGAGAACTTATTTGCATGTGAGCTGTTTGCAAATGGATGCTTTGCAGGAATTCAAGAAGGATAAAAACATACCTATGGACATTCACAATTCCATGATGCCACCTAGATGCATTAGGAAAGTTCTAGGTGAAGAGATGCTTATACTACTGAGGGAGTTGGTCTATTCCCACACAATCTGCTCAGTGCCATTCTAAAATATAGACATATTGATTCCCTTCTTACCTGTGTTGAAAGCCTTTGGTCTTGCATTTCAGGTAACTGAATGATGTTCCTCTCTGTCCCTCGATAAGGGGAAGGTCCTGCCAAGCAGCGAATGTGATGAAGAGACAGATCCAGAGCCACCTCGTTATCATATTCGGGTTCAACTTCCTTTCGGGCAACATACTGAAAGGTCACTACAGATGAAAAATAAATATGGAGACTTTACACAAGGTGAACAAACTATGTGAGAGGATGAACTGAAACATTTGCAGCAGATTCACCCGACTCATCCAATGGGAGTTATCATTCTGGCAATATGTGAGAACATTTACCTTCAAAGACACATAGCCAGTACATAGTTCATATGTTAAGTTACTGATCAGTCCCTTCTATGCATCTGTGGCAGGGAGCTCAATGACTGGTCTGTCTGGGTTTATGTATATTTTCTCTGTACAAACACAACTTTTTCAAAAGCATTGACAAGAACTTGATCATGAAAATATGGTGTTGGTGCAAAAGAATTAATTTCTTAAAGCCCTTATAACCTGGATTTGGGATATAAATATATACATACATAATTACACTAGAGACACAGGCAGAGTTGAATGGCTATTCCAACCCTTAGGCTTAAAGTGAAACTTTACCTCAAAAGGGAAGTTCCGCATTATGCCCCCCCCCCCCCCCCCCACCTCCTCTACCACTTTTGAAACTTTTTTGGGGGGAGAAAACGTACCTAGTTTTGTCAGTACCCGCTCCCACCCCAAAGGAATCACCTAGGCAATTCCACTGGAAGTTCTTCCACCCCACCCCCCACCTGCAATATCCTGAAACATGTCCCGTGTCCCAGTAGGTTGGGGTTCCATTCACAAAGTAAAGCACGACTCATGCATGCGCAGTGGGGACCCAGCTGTGAAGCCACATGTAGTCACAACCAGCTTCCCACACTAAACAGTGCAGTGCAGGGGTCCGGAAGACTGATCCAGGTGAGGATATCACTGATCCCTGGACAGCTTAGTGTCCTTTAATTAAAAGTCAGCAGCTGCTGGCTTTTTTTTTTTTTGTCATCTGAAGAACCAGAACCTCTTTAAGCATACTATGGCCTCATAATAGGTACACAGTGGGTCTTCTGAATGTCAGATTAGCATTCCCCAAACACCCAGATCTAATGATAGCACTGAACCTCATAAGCACCCTAATGCTGTCACATCCATTCCTGTTCCTGGTTCCACCAAGGATCCATATTAATGTGTCCAGAACAAGGAACATAAAACACAAACTCAATGTGCATTGTGCATATGATGCTTGGATGGAGTAAAATCTGAATTACAGGTATGGATATTTTGTGCAAAGTTACAAAGGACCAGCTTGGACCAATCTAATTAATGCATGTCCTATACCTGGCCAATTCCCACAGAAGCTGGAAATCACTGTAGTACACACTGCTGCTGCAGTCACTGTTAGTTTCCGGGTCCCAAGTGGCTGCCCTGCTGCTTAATGAACACAGGAGGTCGCTCATTTGGCACAGAACTGTAACATCACCACCCCTCTTTGCCACCTCACCCAATAAGAAAAAACTTTGCATTCATTGAGAATGTTGTTGTTTAAATAACTAATACCAGCAAGCTATACCTACAGGTTTTTCTTTTTCAGAGTGACCTTCCATTCAAAGGGCTTTTGCACATGGGCTGGTTGAGCCCATTCAACGTGTTTCCTGGGATATTCTTTCCACCCAGGGGGTTGCCCAGATGCAGCTATGTAATTGAAATGAACGGCTATGTACCACTGTGTTTGCCTATACGACTGTGCAATCATAAACACAAGTACAGCGTATGGGAAAATGCAATTATGCAAAAAGTTCTCCCATACTCTGTATGCTTGCACCATCAGATGCAGAAGAACAGTGGCACAGCCTTTCAGGTCAATGACAGGCTGTGTGCTGCACCTGGGCTTCCGGGGGGGAGGACATAAACCGGAAAATACACTGAATGTGCTCAGCCGGCCCGTGTGCACCAGCTCTCAGTTCAGATGCAGCATTGTCACTCTTTTCTACAAGCTGAGCTAAACTGTTCTTTGAGTTGGGCCCATGACAACTGACGGACATTCTGTGTTTA